AATTCCCAGTGCGCTCGCTAAGGCGCACGTAAATTCCTATGTATTTCCCGAATTGCAAAAAGAAAAGGCAGAACCCGGGAATCGTAAAAAGCTTCTAAAAGATGGGGCCCCAAAAAGGGTACGAAAGATAGCACGGGTTCGGGAAGTAGTTTGTCACATATGTGACGCGCAGGGGGTTCCAAAATTATGCGATCTCCTGATTGCATGTTATGGCGGAGGAGGAGAGAGAGAGAGAGAGAGAACATAGTGATGAATGAGGAACCAAGCGTATCAACAAACGATCCAGCCAGAGTCCATATTGACGCCATCTTCAATTTCAATCTTTTCGTGGATCTGTTGGCTCGTGCGGCTGAAATCATCGATGGCCGTCCAGGTGACGCCATCATCGTCCGTCGGTTCTCCGTGTGCTCTGCACCCCAGTTTGTCGCTGCCCGTCGAATCAGAGCGTAGGTTGACGTCATCGTCGATGGCGTGATCTTCACGAAGCTTACTGATTCGTGCCGTTTTCCCCTACCGATTAGCTGAAGAGAGGAGGGGGGGGGAAATAGTCATGTGATCGGGATCTATCGCCTAGTTAGAATGGGCCAGTAGAGGCGGTACATGGAGGGGAGCTCACGGGGACGACGGGGAGGAAGTGGGGGTAGGTAGCGATTCATCCCTTCTACCGTCACCGGAAGCTCCTCATATCAGATGATCCGGTGGAAGCGAGGAAAGCAGTCGCCGCTATGAGGGAGAGAAGCGAGGTAGTCGCGATAGAAGGAGGAGAGGGTGCGGAAGAGGGCCGCTCGAAAGAACTCGTAGTGGCGACAGGCGGGGATTGTCCTCGTGGCTACGCAGTAGACTTCTACCACGTTGCATCGCTCCCATGGAGCGCTGAACAACAGGATATGCCAGCAGAACGTGGGGGCAGCAGGCTGAAGGGATGAGTGGGGGTAGACGGTAGTGAGTAGGCGGGTAGAGTAGAAATCGGAGAAGAGATGGGGAAGAAAGGGATGGAGGGGGAAGGTGATGGGGGTGCGGATCTGTTCGAGGGTGAGAAAATCAAAGGGACGGCAGGATAACGTCCGAGGACGAAGGCCGATCGCCCGCATCGGTACGTGGGCGAACTGGGGGACGGGTGGGGCTGGAGGAGGAGGGGGATCGGCTCCGTCTCCGTCACGCGGCGCTTGGGGTGGCGGCTGCTGAGTCGCCATCTTCGGGCTTCGGCGGCTCCGGATCCCTGGTCGGATCATCACCGATGCGCAGGCTTGCTCCGCTGGCTAACTCTAGTTGGCGCTTCCCGGTGGCAATTTCTTCCCGCTTGCGTGCGGCCTCAGGATCTTCCGCCTCCGTGCCAGTACGAGGCGCTTCCTCCGGCAAGGCTTCCCACTCAGATCCGGTTTCTTCTTCCTCCTCTTCTTCTTCTTCTTCACTCAACTCGCCCTCGCTATACTCGCTATAGCTTCCTTCCTCCGACGTTTCCTCGTCGTCTTCTTCTTCTTCGTCGTCGATCGCCACTTCCTCCGCCTTCGGATAGAAGGTGTGAGGGATGATGTCGTAAGGCTTCAGATACTCCTGCCGTGATGGTAGCGTATCTTCGTCCCTGGGCTCCTCCAAGCACGCAGTCCACTATAGGTACGGATCCAATGACCACTCAAGAATGTACGGAGCGGGGCTGTCGTCACTTTGCGAAAAGATGTTGGGCGAGAGATCGTCCGCCAATTGCACGATCGGCGCGATGAGCTCCTGCGCAATCAACTGGTGGCGGCCCGGCCGTACCGATCCAAAGAGAAAGCCGAGAAGATCGCCCTCGACGTTAGTCTTCCAAGCTTGTATGATCAGCAGCTCCAAATTTTGGATCCACGCAGGATGCTCGTTAAAAATTTCGCGCCACAGTTGCCAATGCCCGGGATTAATAAGCGGGACAGAAAGAGGCTCGAACGAGAAGGAAAGAGAAGGATGAAGATCAGACTGCCAGAAGGTGGGGAAAAGAGAGGGGAGACCGAAGATGGAGAGAGGAGCGAGGGGATCGGCGTGATTTATTGGGGACGTGGGAAAGGGACGAGGGTGGGGATCGCAGGTGGCGGCTCGCGCGAAGAACGACAGATCTCGCCAAAATCCGGTGCAAAGGTCGGGATGAGGTTGTGCCCTGGCCGGGCAACACCGTGCTGCCACACGTTGGATACCTGCTCCGTCCACTCTCGCAGCAAGGTCAAGATCGCGGTATGCCACCGAGGATTGAGCGAACTGATGTCGCCGCTGAAAGCCGCAACCGTGGTGATGTGGCTCGTTCCGGGAGCCGCTCGCCGATGAACTGCTATAACCTCCGCCAGTACCACTGCCTGTGAGCTCCCTTCGAATCGAAACGCGACGGCGACACATACACCCACGTCGCAGAAGAACTGTGCCAAACGCCGAAGATCCGTATTAAGTCGTGGATGACGAACTTGCCGAATTTCCGAGATGTGGCCACGTGGCTGCAACAGCTGTTCGTCAAGAGCCCGCTCCGTGATGAAACTCATGGCGAGGTCGGAGAGGAAGACGAAGGGCAGGAGGGAGACAGTGGAGAGAGAGTTAGATCGTCGTCGTTCTCCTCGCTTTCGGAGGAGGGAGAGGGAGGAAGATGAGAGGGATGAAGAGGACGAAGGTAGGAGGTATGACGGACGATGGGGACAGAGCTATGGCTGGCACTAGCCTCAGGCGCGATGCGCACCGTGTTGGCGCCGTTAGGACAAAGCTCGACAACGCGAAAGCAGCCAGAGAATTTGGGAGCGAGTTTCCGGTCGCGTGCACATTTACGTACCTGCACTAGGTCCCCTAATTTATATTGATGCTGGGGCCCAACATTTCCATTCCGAGCCTCGTAGCTCGGACCTACCTACCGTGGGCCAGATCGGTCATCCTTTGCCTTTTTCGGGCTAGCTTTGGGACGGCACGCTCCATTAATTCGGTGTACCTTTTGGCCTTGGCCTTGAGGGTTGCACGCGTGTCTCTACCCCCTGCTTCGGCAATTTCCAAGTTACCCCGGTAGTCGACAAAGGGGAGGCTATTAGTACGAAGCTGAAAAGGGGTAAACCCCGTGGACTCGTGAGGGGTGGCCCGGTGGATCCCGATGATCTGATATATGATCTCGGGCCACGGACGCGTGTCGTGTGCCGCTAAATTCCTGCGAAGGGCGGTTTTAATCATACGGTTGGTATTCTCAGCCAACCCGTTCGACTGGGACACGTGGGGTGTCGTATGTCAGAGCGTGATGCCCCTTCGTGCGAGAAGTTCCTCTACTTCTCCCTTGAATTCGGACCCATTGTCGGTTAGAATTTCTTCTGTATCTAGATAGGTATAGAGGAACCGTTCGATGTACGTGGCTATTTCTGCGGCTTTTCGGGTCTTACAGGGATAGACCTCGATGTACTTGGAAAAATGGTCTATTAATACTAACAGGATAGAATATTCGCAGCGGTTTGGGCCAGGTGGCATGTCGATATCTGTTGTGTCCATACTGACTCGCTGGAAGGGGCGCTCTACTTCCGTTGGTACTATCGTGTTTGGTCCCCGTATTGGGGCGCGATCAGCGACACAGACCAGATAGTTGGGGACAATGTATCTGACATCATCTCGTATGTTGGACCAGAACCGACGGTTCTGGTCTATAGTTGCCTCCGTGACACGTATCGCAAAATGAGCGGCCTAATCTTCGTGGCCGATCGGATCCAATCATATCTCTGGAATGGATGGGGAACCGTCAACCATGAACCTGATCCGTCACTTTTACGCTTCTCCAAATGACCGTTGATCCACCGATAGTCCCGAGATCTCTCGGTTGCCCTACATCTGTCGTGTTTGGTGAGGTGTCCCAATGATAATCCCGCTAATTTCGCCAATAAAATTTTATCCGTCCAAACCTTCGCTCGTCGGTATTTTTCGTCGTATTCAGGGTCGTCCGTACGGGCGACCTTGAATCGAACCTCCGTGGGGAGTTTGTTCGTTCTACACTGGGGGCACCTCCATTCCTTGCTACTCGTCCGATATCGAATGCAGGCCCCGTGCGCCCGATTAACACACGTGGCACATTCTACCCAATCGACAAACCCGGTTTCGAAGGACGTGCAATACACGTACAAAAATAGCAAAATTTATCGGGGAGGGTGGCAAGCAAAGTTGAGGAAGTGAGAGGGGCAAAATTAGTAGGAGAAGAAGGGGTTGCAGAGACAGGTGGGGTAGTCATGATGACAGAGTGGGAGAGATGGGACCGAATTGCGGAGAGGGTAGAACAGACAAATTGGTCCTCGTGTCACTTACTGCTTCGACAAGATCTCCACTTGGCCGTACCGAGGTCCAACCTCTTGTTCGGGTTCGTTCCACGGAATCACCTCCTCAATCCTCGGAACTTTCTCAGGCCGGTGCAGTCGTGTCAGTCCGTCCGCATTCCCGTGTCTCTCGTGCTTCTGATGACGAATGTCAAAGTCCATGCTCTGTAGCACCGTTGCCCATCGCTCGATTATGCCAGAGTAATCCTTCGATTTCTTCAGAGCCAACAGGGGCTCATGATCGGTTACCAAGGTGAACTTCCGCCCGTATAGGTAAGCACGGAAGTGACTGATTCCCCAGAGAGCCGCGTAGCATTCTCCCGTTGGAGCGACGTAGTTGCTCTTGCAGGCGGGCGCCGATTTGGACACAAACTCCACCACGCTCTTGAGTCCACTTGGTCCCACCTGGGCAAGGATCGCCGAAATTCCCTCTGCCTGCCAGTCAGTAATGAGAACAAAAGGCTTTTCTGGATCCGGCCTTATAAGGATAGGAGCCGAAATGAGAGCGGCCTTGAGTTTCGAAAACGCTTGATCACACTCCGGCGTCCAGATCAACAGCTGATCTTTGCGCAACAGATTTGTGAGGGGTCCCGCAATCGCTGCGAAGCCCTTGATAAATCTTCGGTAGTACAAGGCCAGGCCCAAAAAGGTGCGAACTTGCATGATAGTCGTAGGCACCGGCGCATCGCTGACTGCTGTCACCTTCTGCGGCTCCAGTTGGAGTCCTAAGAAGGAAATGGTGGTAAGGAAAAACTGGCACTTCTCAAGTGTCACCTTGAAGCCAGTATCTCGCAATGCATGCAGCGCCCATTCGATGTGCTGCACGTGTCCCTCGTAGGAACTCGAATACACTAGGATGTCATCCATGTACACAATCACGCAGTAGTTGGTGATGCTCTGTGCCAAACGAGTCTTCCGTACGAAATTCTGAAAAGCCATATTCATGGCTCGCTGAAAGGTCGTGGGGGCGTTGCAGATACCCATCGGACATTGAATCCACTGCCACGTACCCTCGAAGACCACAAACGTCGTTTTCGGCCGATCTTCTTATCGGACAAGAAGATGGTGGAACCCATGGCGAACAAAAATCGAGCACTGCCAATTGCATCCAACAACTCATCAATCTGGGGGAAAGGGTACACATCTTTGATTGTGATATCATTCAATTTTCGATAATCAATGCAAATGCGAATCCCTCCGGCCTTTTTAGGCACGATTACTACGAGAAAAGACCATGGACCTATAGGAGGTTCSATCCATCCATTAGCTTCGAACTCTTTAATCCGCTGAAGAGCGGCCGCTCTTTGAGCTGATGAGTATCGGTAGGGAACGCAGCTAATGGGCGGATGATCTCCCGTGAGGATGGCATGCTCGATCACATTAGTTAAGCCGATGTCATTATCGTGTACACTCAATACTTCTGCGTAGCCATTTAAAACACAGATTAACGACTTCCGAAGTTCCGCGGGGACGTGGCTCGGTAGGGTGATTGTTGATTCCCCGGGAATCTTGAGGGGCATGTCGACCCAGTCAACCGACCGTTCCCGCCGATCATGGACACTAGAAAAAACGGAACTACTGGTGCGAACAGAAAAGACAGTTGCCATCATCTGAGATTCTGCGGGGCTGATCATTTCGGTTTCTTTAGTTTCAACATCAGTCTCTGAACCAGCCAAAGTTGGTTCCACAGTTAGTCCCGTTAGATCCGTCATCTCTTGCATCAGATCAGGTACATCACCTACCGGTGCTTCTGCTTCCTGTTTAATCAAAGCGATGGTTGCTCCTGTCATTAGTAGCGATCTGGGCGGAAAAACAGAAACGTCCAAATACTGTTCCGTTTGCTAATAACGCGTTCGTAAGGAAAGTGCTCCCTCATACAAGGTACGAGGGGGTTCAAAGTCATCGGCCAAGTCGGATACTTGCAATAGGGGTTCCCCGAGGAGGATGGAAGGACTGATTTGGGTTGTCAGAGGCGCGAGCGCGCTGTCTTCTGAATCCACGTGGAAGCTTCAGGCAGTATCGGGGCACACTCGAAATTCTTCGGGAGTTTCGTGTTCGAAAAGTTCGACCAGGTGCTTCCATTCATCCTCACTAGGCAGTTCTTCTTCGTATTCCTGTTCCTCGGTTCCGCTACCGATGTCCGAGGAAGAATACTCCTCGGGATCAATGCATCGAATCATCCCTATTTGGGCCGAGTTAGAAGTTTGTTTATCGTTCGAGTGGAAACTCGCAAGGGAACAGTTTGAGGCTTTCCCCCAGTTTGCGTGAGCACCAGTTGCTTAGAATCAAAATGCAAACGTGCGCCCACCGCCATCGCCCAAGGTAATCCTAATAGTACGGAATATGAGCGCACATCTATCACGAGCGCGTTAACGAGGACGTGTACTCGTCCGACTTTTCCAGCCACATTCTCAATAATGCCCACGATGTTCATTGCCTCCTCGTCGGCAGAGACATAATTGTCTTTGCCAGATTGAGGAAGAATAGAACCGAGTCGTCCCGTCTTTCTGACAGTGTCTAATGAGATTACCACTGCAGAAGACCCTTTGTCGATAAGGGCGTTAAACGGCTTGCCCCAAACTTCACAATCACATTCCGCGCTCTTCCACAGTACCAGTTGAGCTCGTACGAAGTGATCCTTCTCTACTAAAGAGATCGCTGCTATACGTGCGGCTTCGGGTTCGCCGGCTTCGGGTTCGGGCGGTGCAACTTCCTCGCCTCCTTCCTTTTTTTTTAACATTCGCTGTATGCGCTGGTACGTGAAGCGTTTTTGATTCTTCTGGCAATGTTGCAAGAGTTTATTATTCACAGCTTCGGATATGGTGAGCAAATGTCCTACTGGGATAGGAACGCGAATATCCAGTTGCTTAGGTGCACTCAATACATCAATTTCTCCCGTCCAAAACTGCGGACGAGGATTGGATTCGTGATCGACCTATTCAAGATCATCAGGGGCCGATCGGATCGCTCCGACCATGCCTGCGAGATGAAGATATTCAAGTGGATCGACCACATCAGCAGCGTCAGAGGAGGAAGCTCTCGATGTTGACGTCATTGCCATCGAGGGGGAAAGCTTTTCTGGTGCATATGCCACGAGCTCCCCTCCTTGGGCCGTATCCATCAATGCGGCCACTCGTCCTTGATTCAGGGCCACAGGGGCCGCAGCAAATGGGGGCTGATTACGCTTTGGCTGCGGACAGTCTCGATCGAAATATCCGGGTTGTTTGCAGTTAAAACACTCGATCTTTCCTGCCGGGTTAGCTGGGTGAGGGAACTGAGGTGCGTATCCTGGGGCAGGCGGGGCAGGCAAGAGTGGAAATGACGCGGGGGCAGGCCAGGCAGGGGCCGGGTTAGGCTTAATTAACCTGCTCATTATCTGTTCCATCCGCTCCATGTGAGTGGCCTGCAATTGGATCAAGTTGCTCATCCATTCGGACTGCTTGGTAGTGGCCGTATGGATCATTTGGGCAAGATGTAAGTTGGTTACGGCCGGCGAGGGGAGTTCGTGGGAGATTCTGCTCTTAACTGCCGCTATTGGTTGATTCACCGGGGGAGAGGAAGAAGAAACAGGCGGGATATCGGAAGTGATCCCGTCGGGAAAGTCATGGTCGGGGCGGGGATAAAACCGTTCTACCGCGCGCAACCACGATCGCCTTTTAGCCGCTACATCCTGTATGGTGTCCGTAATATCTTCATCTCCCTGACTGATATATTTTTTTTGTATCAGCCAGGTCTAATTCCAACGCTTTAGCGATGATAACGGATAGCTGGTGTGTCTTTGGCGGGACCTTTTTCTGTAACTTCCCTTTCAACGTCGGACTTCGTAGGTGATCGATGAACAAGTCTTGAGCCGATTTCTCGTCTCGCCCAGATTTGTCCAACGTGGTTTGAAATCGATCCACGAAATCGGGAAGCAATTTCCCCGGTCCTTGTGGCCGAGTTTTGAGCGCGTACCATGCGGCATCTCCACTGACCGTATCGAATCGAGCCAAGAAGGCTTGTTTGAAAGTATTACAATCTACCCACGTATGCTTTCTAAAACAATCATGCGACGTATTGCGGAGTAGCAAGGTAAGAACAGGGGAAAGATCACCCGCGCTGTAGCCTTGAGCTTTGACGACTTTCAACCAAACCTCGGGATGGGTATGGTTAGGGAAGAAGGGAAAAGGGGCAGGAATGCTAACGATCACTCTAGTACCGTCTGCCATTGGCATTGTGGGTGCAACCGCACCAGATCGAGACCTGGTCACTGGGCGATCTCGACGAGCTAGTTGAGGGTTTCTCCTACCTCTCGCCAGTTCGACTTACTATCATCAAAACCGATAGTGCCGGCTCCGATACCAACCTCACGCCCTGTGTTGTCTTTCGTTCGGAGTGCTAGATATGCGGAAAGAGGCCCAGAAAAACAGCAAGATGGGGTGTGCCAAGGATTTTTGGAAATTGAGTGTGGGGACACAGGCGGAACTGAAATCCCCCGTG